TTCCTGGAATCAGTGAAGTCGATTGGACCCAAGATGGTGTGCAGTTTGTTGTACCTGGAACAGCAGTTCGGGGAGAACATGGAGTCACATCGGGGACTGTAATTCGGCGAGGTTCCTGTAAGGAATTGTTCTGGATCTGTCCTATTGAATTAATTGTCGGGACGACAATTTTGAAGAGGAGGGGGCAAGTGTTATGTCCGTGTCCCGCCCGTTTGACGATACGTCCCTGTATTATACGATCGTCAGGATTTTCTATTAGGATCTTCTATCAGGGTCTTCTATCAGGATCTTCTATCGTCGCTAAGAAGCTGTTTATGTCTATCGATGTGTTTGTTCTGGTCTAGCTGTCGTGCGGTGAGGACGTATCCTCTGACAGCTGATCGGCGGATATATTTGCATTAAGATTAATGCACGTAATATTTTATTGTATCGTTACGGTTTATTGGCTTCTAATATTAAAGTTTATTGCTTTACTACGCGAGTGTATTCATTTCCGGCGTGTGAGAGTTTGAGTGCGCGCGACATTTCTTTGAGATAATCCGAAGGGTGGTCGCGGACGTAACAATATATATATATATATATTAAATATTAATAACTAAAATGTATATTAAAAAAATATTTTCTTATTTACATAACATATATATTTGTATATATAATATTATATACTTATTATTGATATTATATAATTAATTTTAGATAATAAACTGAAATATTAAAATTAGAAGAAACGGAGGAATTAACACGCTTCAATAACTCAATTAGGTAAGCTTTTTCATTATTTATTATAATATGAATATTTTTTTTTTCAATAATTTTGAATTTAATCATTTAATTTACTTAAATGATTTTTTTTAATTTTGTATAATTATGTGTGATATAAACATTTATTTATTAATGTTTAATTATTTAAATTTCATTAGGTTAATTTATTTTATAACAAAATTTATTATATGTTATTATTTAATTCTTATGTCATTGATTATTACTAATAATTAATAATCGTTATGATCATAACTATAATTATTATTATTAATTTAGTAACATTTTATATATTTATATTTATAGTATATCTAAAAATGAAGATATTAAAAAAAAAGAGGACATTTCAATTTTAAAACATAACAATATTATTGAAAATACTAATGTTTCGACAAAAAGTGGAAAAGAAATTACAATTATAAATCGCAACGATGAAGAGGAAATAATACAGTTCGTATCTGATGAAATATTAGAAACGATACAATTTGAAGATTCAACTGTGTAAATTTTTATACTTATTGTTAATTCTTACTATACGAAATTTATACACTTACAAAAATAACATAATTTGTCATCTGTTGTTGATTTTTATAAATTAGTTAATATTGATTTTGGGACAGTTAAATTTGATTTCTCATGTCTACGTAATATCTACATATATAGATTAGAATTGACAAAATATAATTAAATATAATGCGAATAATTATTTAGTCAGCTCTTTTAATTTTTAAAGCCACAATCTCCACTTGATTCCTCTCGACCAATAGAGCCAAACGCGATGTTATTGCGACAATTATGAAGAAAAGAACATTTTGGAAAGGAATTTGAATCCTATGGTTGGGATCTCAAAAATTCCCCCTGTTCCTTCTCTTAACATCCCCTGTAAAGAAATAGGCGAGAAAAATATTGGTCCGAAAGTTGGCTGAATCGGGACTCGAACCCGAGACCTTCCGCTTGCCGGGCGACTGCTCTTCCAACTGGGGGATATAAACATTGAGAAAAGTATTTATTCGTAAGTGTCTGAATAGCTCAGTTGGAAGAGCAGTCGCCCGGCAAGCGGAAGGTCTCGGGTTCGAGTCCCGATTCAGCCGACTTTCGGACCAATATTTTTCTCGCCTATTTCTTTACAGGGGATGTTAAGAGAAGGAACAAGGGGAATTTTTGAGATCCCAACCATAGGATTCAAATTCCTTTCCAAAATGTTCTTTCCTTCATAATTGTCGCAATAACATCGCGTTTGGCTCTATTGGTCGAGAGGAATCAAGTAGAGATTGTGGCTTTAATAATTAAATATGTAGTAAAATTAATATCTATCAATATCTAATCAAATGATGTAAAAAATTATTGTGATTGTGACATATAAAGGATATTACTAAATATGATTTAACCATGGATAAAATAATTAATTTTATTTATGTTAAATTTTTCGAAAAAAAATATTTCAGTGAAATTATTGGTTTTATTGATGAAATAGAAGGACCTAAATTTGTTGGCAAGACTAAACAATATACATTATTTAAGTTTATTGTAAATAATAATAGCCGGCATCGAATCCAAATTATTGCCTGGAATAAGGAAATTGAGCGAATAAAATTTCATTTGCAACCAAACCGAGTAATTAATATATTATTTATTTACATTTATGTTCTGTTACATTAATTATACTTGAAATAATTTTATTATAATAATTTTTATTTGATAAAAAATAATATTTTTATACAAATAAGATGTTAATTCGACAAGATTTATTATTAGTACTAAGTTGTTATTTAATTAATAATTTCTAATTGTCATATTTTAAAGATAATTCACATTGATGGTGCTAAAGCCAAAAAAATAAAATTCCCAGAATTTAATCACGGAACTGTTCCGTATGAACTTGTAATTCAGTCACACACCGTAATCAATAATTTAGGTGCTTTTGATATAAAAACAACAATTAATATAGCAAAGCCAAAATTAATAAAGTTTGAAGAAATTCCTGAATATTTAAATAGCTATATACGTAAGAAATATATATTATTATATGATATTATATTATGATTAAATATGTTTTTAAAAAATGAAAATTATATTCACAATAATTGATATTTTATTATTAAGTAATAACATAAATTTTATTATTATTTATTTTAATTCGTTAAATAAAAGGATACTAAAATTACAAGTAAATAATATTAATTATTTTTATTAATGTATTTATATAGTCATCTTCTATCTAGATGTTGATATTAAAATACATCGAAGGAAGAAAAATGTCTCTTATGGAAACTTGGATCGATAATATTGACGAAAATAAATTCCAAATAAAGTTATGGTTCTTTAACAAATGGAATTTATAAATTGGAAATAAAAGAATTCCCTACGAAGTAATTGTGTTGGAAGCAAAATATATCGTATCGCTTTTTCGTGTATCTGATTAGTTATCGAGCTGCGCGATGAGCTTCACAATATGAAGTGTTGTTTTATATGACAGATTGTATTATGTTGCACAAGGTTACAAAGAAAAATTATTTGCATTTACGAAAGCTTTTTGTGTACTTTAAAGCAACTGTGACTACGATTGCATGTTATATATTTCGGTTCTTCGTTGTGCTTTAAAACTTTCCTGCAAATTTATATGAAAGTAAGTTCTGTAACTGAAATTTAGAAATTATTATTTTGTAAGATTTATATATATCATTTAAAAATAAAATTAAAATTAAAAAGAAAGGTCCATCAAATTAATAACAAATAAATATAAACGATAAGAAGACATGTAGGATCAGGGCAGTAGGTCAGGCACAATTTACCAGTAATAAATGAACATTAACTCACCTCATTATATCTTAAATAAGGTATTATCATTTTTAAACTGTAGAAAATAACATTTTGTAACTTCTAGGTTTTAATGTAGAGATACTAAACATAAAATTTACTGTTAAACATGGAAAAAGAAAGGTTGCCTTTTTTGCAATAATAAAATAAGTGACCCATTTTTGACATTGAATGCTCCAAATATAAATACGGAATGATAATACCTAAAAAATATCTATTCCTGCTTTTTTTTTTTCCTTTACTCTCTTTCTCTCTTTTACTTTTCTTTCTTATAGGATTCTTATAAGATTGCTTGCAACATTTTACTGTCAAGCAGATGTCGGCTTGCAAATCCTTTCAATTTCTGCTACGTTTCTAATATTATAATACATATTTCAGGTTATAAATAGTTAAGAAACAACAAAAATAAAGAAATAGAAATATAATAAAAAGAAGAGAAAAGATTTTTATCGAGGAGAAAAAGGAGCTAAGAGAGAGAGAAAGAGAGAGAGAGAGAGAGAGAGAGAGAGAGAGAGAGAGAAGATACATAACAGATAAAGAGAAGATCCACTGACAAAAAGTTTGTATACAGCACTGATTTGATTATTAAAATGTAGTATTAATATTCGAAGACGATCGCTAGATTAATCTTTTCCGTATTTCAAAAGTATATTGTTTGTACATTTTGTTACGAAGCAGATGTCGGCTTGCACACTTTTTCAATTTTTGCCTTGTCTTGAAATATTGAATACCGACAATAGTCGCCGCGCAATTAATACGGCGCTGATTTTATTATTAAAGAAGTATTAATATTTTAAGGCTAGCGATACATTAATTATATTAGATAAAAAAGTTATAAAGCATTTAAAGCATTTGAAGTTCACTTATAACCCGCTGTATAAATCGCGCGGCGACATTGGTCAGTATTTAATAATTAAATATATGTGGCAGAAATTAAATAACTGATCAAGCCGACATCTGCTTGGTAGCAAAATGTTCGGATCGAACGATTAAACGTAAATAACGTCGCCTATAAATTTTAATCGTTCAAATTAGACGTCGACTATGACGTCGATAATTGTGCTAAAACATTATAGGCGACATCAATAAACATTTCATATTTAATTATAATAAATTAATCTTTTCATGTAAAATTATATATTAAAATTTTATATAAAAATATATGTGATCCATAATATATATATATATATAATATTTTTTTTTTTTGTGTTGTATAATTTCTCTTTGTGTGTGTAATATATTAATTAATTATAAAAATAAAGGTAAATTAATTATTATAATATATTATATATATATATTTACTAATTATGTATGAGGAAACTTTATATGAAAATATAACTTTTAATTATTTAAATGATTGGTTCGATAACGCTTATTTTGATTTAACTGTCGTATAAAAGATAAGTTGCGAGTTGCGACACCGCCTTGCGACTAAATATAGTACCAACTTAACGCAACGAGTTAACGAACTCATTCTGTTATTGTTCCGTGATCGATGATCATTCGTTGAAGTTCGTTGAATGTTGAACTGTGCTTGTGATAATATTTGTTCTTCTGGAGGCCTATTCTGTAACTTTTAACAAATGCGTTATAACTGTAACGCATGCGTTAGTCGTCGTATCGTCGACGAATTCATGGTTAACAAATGAATTATAGTTATAACGCATGCGTTAAAAGTTACAGAATAAGTCTGCTGGATCGATTGCTATTCTAATAAAGAAGTCATCACCAACAAAAATGAGTGAAAGTCCACCGGTAAGTGCTTCATAATTTATAATTTCTTAATAATCTACTTTTTACTTTTGTGCCTCAAGTCGTCTGTAGGTTATAATTGTTTCATAAATAATTACAATTTTCATATAAATAGTTCATAATATATATATATTAATAAATTATTTTGATTTATTTAATTAAAAATATTGTATGCTCTTATATATACACTTTTCTTTAACTCACTCTTTAACTAACCTCAACATATACGGAATTATTAATAATAATATTGTCACTATTGCTTCTTTTTTGCTATTATTTATTTAAAGTTTATTATCAAAATTTATTACATAACATTATTGTGAATGCAGTATAAGCAATATATTTTAGTACTGATGTTGTTCTTGTATTATTTTTACATCTATCATAGGAAAGTAGGAATCGTCGTAGAAATACGAACAAGCAAATAATTAATGAATTAGTTAGGCAATGTAGGAATCAAAGAAAATTGGACGATTTAAGAAATCGAATTACTACTGTCTACAAGACAGAGGCTTCATCCGATGAAGAGGTTTCATCCGATGAAGAGGTTTCATCCAATGAAAAGGTTTCATCCGATGAAGAGAATAATGAAATGCTGCCCATTCCAGGGATTGAAGATATTTCTTTATTAGAAACAAATTCTGAAGTATCAACAGAATCTGATGCATCTATCGATCAACTTGAAAATGAAAATATGGATGATAACAATAATTATAATAATGACAATGACAGTGAATTACATTTTGAAGATGAGAATAATGACAGCGAAGGAAGTGTTGAAATTAATGATGCTAACAGATATAGTAACGATGAAGAAAATGATGATTTAATGATTGAATTTGAAAATGACGAACAGAGAGGACGCTATGTTTTAAAAACATTGAGGGAGTGGGCCCTTGAAGGAGGGTGTTATCTATGAAGAAGTTAAATGATTTACTTCGTAGATTGAGAGTATTGTTTCCCATCTTACCTAAAAGCTACAAACCGTTAGGTGATAATGAAAAAATTGTAGCATCAAGACTTATGACCAAATTGATGACTAATTCCTTAGCGAAACAATTCAACTTTGATGGTCATAATCCTCAAAAGGCTAAAGTTAATAAAAGGCCATTTAAGAAACTGAAACTATGGGAATTATTTCAAGGTATTTTATCTTCTTTTCAATATTTTGTTTCATCTTAAGTTTATTGTAGAAAAAATTCATAATATTTCTTTTTTTTCTAGAGTTATGCTATTAAATTTCCTACCAGTGATTTGGAAGATGCCTTAAATGCAGTCAGAAATTGGCTACGAAACGCTGCTGGGCGCGTAAGCAATAAAATGTGCAATTTCATTTTTTTTATTTTTAACAGAATCTAATGTATAAGAAAAGCAGAGGTAAAAAGTGCTCGCATACGAGAATATTGCGTTGTGATATCTTATTATTCTTAGACGACTCTTTACAAGGTCTTTTTCTCGATACAAATTAGCACGGGGGAGGTTCCCATTAAAAGGGAAGAGGTCATTTAATATTCGTCATAAAATGCAATTAATTATTTTTTTTCTTGAATGTGAAATATGATCTCTATTCATGTGCAATTTGCGAAGTCTTATGTCATTTTATTTTTTATTATTATTTTTTGATATTGCTGCTTTATTTTGAATATTATTTGTCTTATTTTTTATTATGTAACTGATAAGACATTGTCAGGTTTAAATTTGATTTGAATTATTACATATAAAAGTTTTTTAGTTGAAGTATGTATATGTAGAATATATATGTACACTAATAAAGAATGTATATATATATACATATATAAAATATATATATTTATAATATATATATATCAAGACACGATAAGATGGCATATACTGGAGTTTTCAGTATGTCAACAAAGATTATCCTGTATTGAAATTGTCCAATACATATAATAAAAAATAGATATAAGGTTAATAATACATATAAATTTTTTCTAAAGTGTCTTTTCCATCCTTTCAGTTTCAATTATATAAATATATGTATAACAATCTAAATACCAAGATCCAAATAATTTTAGTGTTGGTTCTATTTTTTTCATTCGTAAATTAAAAAGGTAATGTAAATTTCTAAAGAAAATATATTGCATGCATCCAATATTACAATTCAATGAATATTTACTGAGCAATTTGTTTTGATTAGAATATTACATTATTCTATATTTTACAATAAAAATATACTTAGAATTAAAATAAAATGTTCACTGAATGGTGACGTAATACTGCACTTATTGCCTGCGTTCGCAGCAGAGAAAGTAGAAGTGTCTGTTGTAAAATTATTGAATTTGAGTATTGTATGAGCTTAGGTTTAGTCAAAACTAAAAGCATACGCCAATTATACGCCATTATTAGATTCATCAATTTTACAACATTTGCAACGCTACTTTTTCTGCTGATACAGCCGTTACATCAATATTTAGATGTCTATTAGACATTTTATAGACGTTTATATTAACGTCTAGATGGTGTCGAAATTCAAAGATTGTCCGTCTATATAGACGTCAAATTAGATTTACTTAGACGCATATAAAAAGACATCGATTCGACGTCTTTCAA